ACGAAGGGGGGCTATTTTTATTACCTAGCATAGACAGGGGGCTTCATTTCCATGTATTGGAATCATTATCGAGGGGCCAGGTATGGACACAGCAAAAATGGCGAGGCGTTAGCATCTCACATCACAGCGAACGGCGTTTGAACAGTTTTGTGGCAAAGTCACTACCGGATCGCTTTGCTGGACATAGAGAGCAAAATAGGAGTTTGTAGGTGGCCAAAGGGTCTGATGAGTATACTGTGTTTGATCGATTCTGCTACCGCTGGTGAGTAGGTGGTTTGGCAAGCGACAAGATCTAGTGTCTTCCTCCTTTTTTCCCAAGGCATGTTTCTTGATGTCACATCCACGCATTCAATATTCCTGCTGACGAAGCCCACCTGCCACCCCCAATAACTTGAAACTTGAGATGGAACAGTCCAGGATTGGGGGTCGATCGTGAAGATGCGCTATATGTCTGCGTGCTGCTGTGCTCTCAATCCTTTCAAGGACACGGTAGCATTGGCTTTGACTGATAAGAAGAACGGACTGACCAGAATACGAGATGGATACCTGCGACTTGAATCAGATGGGCATTCTCCTGTGCCCGAACCCCCTGAGAGACAGTTAGACTTCTGCAGCCCGAGGAAGTGTGTTTACCATCATCTCGGTCGCATACAAGTACAAGAGCGTCGAAGATGCCGCCTTGCCAAAAAGAGGGATGACTGTCCGCGAAGTGAGGCATTTAAGGAGAATGGCTAGGAACTCCAGCCTGGTCTGTCGTCGTGGCGCTTGAGACATCCTTCAGACAAGCCCCTGTGGTGATAGTCGCATGTAGTGCATCCTGTGTTTCTGGAGGGTTTGGGAGAGACGGGACCCCGGATCAGCGAGCGTGGCGGGCGCGGCGGGCTCGGCGGGCACCTTGACTGTTTTGGAGGCTGTTGTACCGGTACCATTCGTTGGTGGTCAGTAAGCAACGGCCCAAGGCGCGACCCTTTTCCCTGGTACCAAGGAAGTGGCTTAAGTGGATAGGCGACGGACACCCCCGGAAGCAATGCCTCGCTCGCTAGCCTCACCACCCGCAAGAAGCGGGCTGCTACTGGAAGTCGTAGGCGGTGGAGGAGCCACCAGCCTACCTAGGCACTCCAGGCTATACTCACCTGGGTACCATTTTGGTGAGGGGCTCAAGTAACGGTCTGTCCTTTTCTCCCCGGAGAGGTGTTCTGGCCTCCCGTGCCAACCCCTCCAGTCTTGCCTAAAGCATGCCATGAGCCACCAAAAAGCCCACCTGGAGCCACCAAAGGAGCCACTGGTGGGACACCCCGAGGCTCCCCCGTAACCCTTCCAATGCTTCCCCCAGTTACTTGGTGTACATAGGTAGTACCTCATGGTACGAGGTAGTGAAATAATAATGGGGCAGCCTCTACCAAAGTCTTCGCGGACCAGCCGCTCTTCACCGACGGAACTTTGGATGAGCATCGTCAGCCATCGTGCCGTCCATCCCACTGTCTCGTACTCGTTCTAACTTCTCCATTCATCAAAGGCACCACCTGCTCAAAGCTCACCATTTTCCCTTTTCGTCTCGCTAGTTTGACAGTCGAGATCATCTAGGATCCATATCTTCTTCCGACACAAGGCATTTGTCAACTGCCGCCCCCGACATACAGAGATTGGATCGAAACCCGACTTTGCAACCTTGTCGAAGACGCCAGGAATGGTTTCTGCGCCCTGCTTGACTCTTTGGCAGACTGCTTACAACGAGTCTTGGGACGACACCGATGCTACCTCATTCATACCTTGACGCCCTGACGCCCTGACGCCCTGACGCCCTGGCGCCCTGGCGCCCACAGACCCTCGTCCGCCGTATTCATCCATCAACTCCTCCCGTCTTCAATCAAAGACGGCCCCGGATTCCGCAAGGTCCCATCATCTCACCCCTGAATCGGGCCGTCCTTTAGATTCCATCAGTGATCGTCTAACGGCTCGGTAGATTGGACGTTGTTGTCTTGTCGACTCTTGTCGCTCTACCCTGGTCGTGTTTCGCGACGCAGATCCGTGCATGCGGCCCGAGGCTGATCGTGTCTTGTGTTGGACTACGCATCTAGTACCATTATCAACTACCAGGTCCTCTTCAAAACCCCTTCCTTGTGAACTCGATCACAAGCTCATGTAGTGGTGAAGCACCTGGATACTACGAATCCAAATCGGTTCATCCCGCAAAGGAATACATCTGCAAGGTCTATCTATTGCACAAACGGCATCCCAACCCTCCAGCTACTAATAGTCTACCCTTGGTTGATCCAACGACTCATTCGATCACTCAACTCCCCGGTATGCCTACTTCTACAGCCACAGCGTCTAACACCAGTTCTCGGAGGACTCCTGGACAGGTCCAGAAGCCTTCCGAAAATGCTCAGATTCCACCACCACCATCGCCGGACCACGCCGGACCCCCAGCAGATGAACCGGCTCCAAAAAGGCCTAAGCGGACACTCAAGCTGACTGCCTCTCAACGAGAGAGGAAAAGAGCCATCGACCGCGAGGCGCAACGAAGCATCCGCTTGAAAACCAAAAATTATATTGCCCATCTCGAGAACTTGGTCCGAATTATGGAGAATGGGGCGTCGTCGGCAAGCCACGGCGAGAGCGGTGAGCAGCCCCTTGGACAGGGCAAACCCGAGGAAGGGCAGGAAAGACTCAGATCGCTATTGTCTCAGTTGAGGCAGAGCGAGGACGAGGTTAGACGACTAAGGGAGATGGTCAATGGGGTCCAGAAGCTGGTGGCAACGGCTCTGAATCCAGGCGAGGGCCTGGTCGCACAGCAACTCACCGGTGCTAAGGCTTCCGACGGCCAACAACCCACATTCATGGCGACGCCCCTTCAAGGTGTGGTCCATGATCACCTCGAGAACAGCGCCTCCGTTTACTCACATAGTTCGGATTCATCCTCGCCAGTGGTTGAACTAGGGTACCAGCCTTTTGATCACCCGAAATTTGCCGAGGCACCTGTGCCCAACTACACCGCCAAGGTAGCAGGTCTTCGAGCCATCCCTCCGCACCACGCAGATCGACCTGACAGTCTTGGAAGGTTAGTTCCTCCTGGCACCATACTGGAAGGGCCGACTTCAGAGCCCTTCGACATTCTGAAGGACAGAGTCGAAGGTGAATTGTTCTTCCTCTCGGAACGGGAAATCAATCGGGTCTTGGGAGGCGGTCACCAGTCCTTCGCGAACCAGAATCTTGACGAAGATATCGCCGTCCGGGCAGTATTACATGGTTGGCGTGATGTGCAGGACCTGTATCTTCTGGACAGAGGCTGGCAGGCACTCAAGAGCATTGACCAATTCATCTTCCACGAATGTGGCGTTGTAGAGAGAATCGCCATTCTCCACATGATGCGACTGAAGCTGCTCCATCAGAGCAACATGTATCCGCAGTTTCTGGCTCCGCTGCCGCCATTCTTCCAGAGAGGGTCGACCGAAGACCCGGATATCTTGGAGAAGACGCCCATCATCGAACATTTTGTTTGGCCCGGTCTACGAGTTGGTCTGTGCAATAATAAGAGGAGGTATATCAACAACAAGTTCTCGGATTCTTTCAGACGATCGCTAAAATTTCTATGGCCTTACAAAGTATCGGATGTTTATGAGAGAGATCCTGTCACCCAGCTATATACAGTCATGCCGGAATTCAAACGCCGCGAATGGGATCTCCGTGTGTGGACAATGAGAAGGGATTTCTTTGCAGATGCAAGTGAACTGGTAGGCGCGATACCGATGTATGAGGCGCCATTAGATCGACCCCTGATCCCAGCCGCACCAGCACCTATGCAACCAGGCTGGTTTGCAGGACATGCGTCCCGGCGGATGCTTCAGAAAGCACCTGTTGGGGAAACGAGCAAGCAACAAGCCACTGAGCCGCAGATGGAATCGGCACATGTACCTGTCCATGCTCACTCATCTCACCACATCGGCGGCCTGTCATCAGTCACGACGACGACCAACATACCTGTGGCGCAGATTCCGCATGCTGCAGAGGTTGAAGCTTGGCTAGGGGATCCTGATATGGTGCCGCAGTATTGGAATATGGGGCAGGACATGAATGGGAACTTTGAGGCTGTGTCTCCTCAGTGGCCGACCGTTCCACGAGGATTCGGAAATTGAGATGGATAATGAAATGGGCGGTCTTCTAGGATTGAGGCGATCTGATTGTCGATGACGTCCACATCATATTGAATGTATTGGTATCTGGTTCAAGATCTTGAGTGCCTTTTGGTAAAGAAGTGCGGCGTTTCTAAGCGTATGGCCGGGAGATATCTCGGGATTCCAATAGAGTGCCGTGGGTTCTTTTTTTTTTTGCCTCGAGCCTGGCCCTGGGGTTCCGCACGTCGCCGAACAAGCACAAGGTGCCTGGGGCTACAAGATTGTCGTGTGTTGGTGCCACCACATCAGTTGCTACGAGTTGCTTGTAGAGCTTCAGATATGACGCAAATCACGTGTCCCGGCTTGGTAAGTCGTCACTCGTCAATCACATGCGCCGCACCCGCGCAACCCACGCATCCATCATCGAACCATCGAACCATCGAACCATCGCATCCAAGCGCATGCAACCAGCTGACGAAACTTATCCACGTCCATCCCGCTTTGGCTCTTCATATATCCAAGTACCTCGTTACCTGAGCAGATGCCGTCGCTCAATTCGCCCAAGCCTTTCTCATGCGACCCTTTACCGTTTTCTGCAGCTTAGAAGCTTCGTCCGGTCAACAGCGTCATTGAATGCCGTGCTTCCTTTGTTGCCAACCCTCGATTCATCCACTGCCTTGATCGTGTCGGCACGGGTTCTTCAGTTGAACCACATTCGATCAGAGGATCCATCCCCGTTGTTTGTTGTCTCTTCCAGCAATCATATCAGAAAGAGGCAGCCCCCCTCCTCTCCCGCAATCTAGGTCGAAGACATTAAACCCCCCTCCGGCCAATCCGGTTCACAGGTGGCCGATCCAATTTTTTTTTTAATGTTAATCATCCATCATGAATTTACTCACGCGCAAAACTTCGAGCAAGTCGCTCTCGGAGAAGGAGAACAGAGGTAGAGGCTCGACGGGCCAGGATGCTAGCGCAGCGGAGCGCATTGCAGACGACAGCAAGCCGTCCTTCTTCCACCGCCTGAGCAGGAAGAGCAGCCGGTCCAGAGAACGGGAGACGCACAGTAGTCAGAATGAGACCACGTCAACCCCGCATCCGAGCGAGGTGAGTATGATTTGACACATTGCAACTACTTCTCTTCGTCTGGCAGTATACCTCGCTGCACACATGCGCGTTGATACTGACTCCGGGGGCGCTTGCAGGCGAGCCATGAGCGAGAGGCAGCGACTGCGAACGCGCATAATAAAATCGTTTCTCCTAAAGTGGCCGAAGTCCATCCAGAGCTTGCTCACGACACTAAAGGGAAGCATTCTGTTCACGTGGACTCTTCACCCCACTCAGAGAACACTGAGGCCCTCCAGTCTATTGACCCAGCCACGAAGGAGAAGGCTCCCTCACTACCCAGAAGCAATGCCGAGAGGCTGCAAACAGGTACTGAAGCAGGTGAGTTCCTCGTGCCTTGAGCAATGCCGGCATCAGCCTAATTTTGATGCTATAGACGATCAGCCCAAGACCAAGCGCCGTCCGGGAGGCTTGACTAAAGAAGACGTCGAGCATCTCTTCTCTGGGGCTCCCCAATTTATCCTCGAGAAGGGTCGGAGAGGCCGCTATTTTCCCCAATCATTTTTCCCATGGAATAATGACCTAGAGATATCCGATCTACAAGACCGGCGATATATCAAGCACGAAAGCTTCGCGCTCGCAACGCTACACGCCCACTTGCCTATTCCCGACGAAGTCAATTGGAGACCGGGAATGGCAGCCCCAACAAAGAAGCAGGGGCTTGAACTGGGGAAGCGACCAATGTTTGAACTCGGAATCTTTGAGCGGCCGAACATGCTAGGCATCGAAGGTCGAGAGCCGGGCTCAGTAGGCATGCGATATTTCCTCGAAAGACCCGTTGCGGATGGCATGACGGACGAAAGGATCAAGGAGCATGGCAAGGACGTCGAGATTGACCTGGCAATCGCAAATGCCCCGGCGCTCGAGGCTTTCAAGATGCTCGCTCTAGGAAAAGACAATGAGGAGCTGAATGCCAAAATCGGCAAGCATGCGCCCGCTCAGGAACGAACCAGATTGATCAACGAAGGTCCTCGCGCCTGGAAAGCCGTAGGTGTCCGGGATATCAGCATGGAAGTCCTGGCCGAGAGGATGCACCGAGTGGGCGACTTGCGCGACCATGTTCTCAATGCCGGCTGGCGGACCACCGTCCTAAACCACATTGACGCCCCGTCTCTCTATTCCCATCTCTTCAACGAGCTACTCTACCCACCTCACCGAGTGCCGTCGGATGCCAAAAACGGGAAGACATCCCTGAAGATCCAGATTGAAGCACTGGTCAAGGTTCTGACCACGCCTGGCGCCTGGCTCGATCTGAGCATCCCGGAGTCGCGGTTGAGGTTCGGGAAAATCCTACATAGTCGGACGACTCGACACGACCACGATACAGGTCTTCTGGTCATTGACCCGGAGCGGAAGTGGCTGCTCATCCAGCTCCTCCTGTCTGTCGAACTGGTCATCCGCCTCGATGCGGCCCTGAGACTAGGCGTGGCACTCCATGCGGAAAACTTCGAGATCAGCAGCGAAGAAATTCACCATTTCAATAAGCTACGTAACCTCAAGGTTGATTGGGACCTTGTGGCCGCCCGGCGGTTTCTGTTTCTATCCTATGTCAAGAAAATTGAAAAGAGAGACTCAGCTCCCGTAACGCCGGTCCATTCATTGGAGCGACCTTCGACTCTCAGGCAGAAGTCTTCGGGCGACCACCGCCATTCACTGTTTGGCGATCTCAGACACAAGATGGGGTTGGACAAATCGGATGCCGAACCACACGTTGTGCTTGATGTCTGCGACGTGGCCATAATGGCTCGACAACCGACGGTAATGGTGGACGGCCTCTTCCGCTTCGCCACCAACATTGGATGGCCGCGAAGTGAGCAGCTGCACGAATCCCTGAAGCAGAAGCTGTGTACGGCGTCGGTGGAAGAGAGGGAGAAGATGCTGATGGATGCGATCGTCTGCCCTGATGACAACACCGCCACGACTAGCCCGGTCAGCTTGACGCCTCCGCTCCAGAGGTTCAATGTCGATCTACATCCCGCTACACCCACCACCATCGGCGGCTGGCTCTCACACAGCTGGCTCTCAGGTCTCATCCTCCCGGGCACCTCGATCTGTGACATCCTGATGTCCACGCTCCTCGAGAACGACCCTGACCCACGGACTCTCCAGCATCTTGGCTCTGCCCGCCTACCGCTGCGAGCGTCGGGGTTCATCCTTGACGGATCTTCCTGGTGGTCCAAATCCTGTATCGTGGGGCGGGTCATGGCACCGACAAAAGGGGGTATGGAGTCGATGGGTTGGATTCACACGCCCAAGTTCGTGCCCTTGTTCGAAAACACCCGCGAGCCGGTGGGCAACCGCTGGGTGAAGATCAAGACCTTTCCTGTGCCCACAACTCGCGACCGGCCGAGAATATTCGACGGTGACAGATTGGCCGAGGATTCGACTCCGCTGGGTAAGGGGAAAGGAGGCATCATGGGCACCGAGTTCAGTATGGTAACTGACCACGTCTTGGACGACGGAAGCATGCCCGAAGTCACAGTCAAGGACATCAAGGTGCATTTATCCAGCTCGGACCTGACCCTCGCATCTGCGGAACACCCACTGTCCGCATGGGCTCAGTTCGAACTTATCCTCGCACCACCTACAACCCCGACTCCATCCCATCTATCATCGGGAGAGACGCTCACTAGCGAGACGGCTCGGCTCCAGATTCGCTACGGCCTCGATCGCGCTGTGTACTTTGTGACCTCCCACCCATGCCGCCTGCCTCACGGCCATGCCACATTCAAGCCCGGCTCACTGGATGCGCATTACGAACAACAACACCCCAAACACATAAGAGGCGTGGCGGAACACATCCCTGCGCATCCACTGCACAAGACATATGCCTACGTGACCAAAACACTGGCCGAGATTGTGCAGAATCCAGAGCTGGATCCCCCGAATCCAACGAGGATGGGCGATGAAGGCGTCTGGATCATCGATGCGCGAAGTCACGGCCAGTCGCCACACAGTTCACAGACCTCCCTACATGGCGAGACACCTACACCGTCTTCAACGCCGACGCCAGCCGCAGCTGAGGGAGCAACCCATGGCGTCACAAGTCCCAAAGTGCACCTTGACTATCTCCAGCGCTATCTCCACGGAAGCACCGACCCGCAACTGTGGAAAAAGGACATCCTCATACGGGCGTGGTGTGCCGAAAAGGGTCGCAACGCCATCGTGGCCCGAGTCGGACGCACATGCCTATCCTGTGCGATCCGCGAGGCCAAGGCGCTCGAGATCTCGGTCATTATCAGGGTCGGAATCAAGGAGTGATTTTCAAGCGGAGTTTGGCACGGAGGTCAACGAAGTGGCCGGTCAACAGAGGGGGGTTGTCCTCGCTGGCCGCTGGTCTTGTCATTCAGCTCGCAGCATTTGGATATGCCATCCGGCGGGTTTGGGCAGTCGAACACAGTTCCAGGAACATGGATGTTCGGGCACGCAATGGGTATGGGCAAGGGAGGGAACCTCATTTCACCAATGCCATCAGATCAAATCGGTCACGGGACTCACAGATGGAGCGAAGCCCTTCATTCTCATCCCGCAAGGCACATTCCCAGGGAAGGCAGGGTCTGAGTGAGTCTTCAAGCATGGCGATGGAAATGAGACCGGGAGAGTTAGCGAGGGTGTTTAAATCATGATCACGATGTTGACGGCGAGATGGGAGGACGCGTGACGCACCCGGGGGGAATTTGCGGGACTATTTAATCGACCAACTGCACATCATATCACGAGACGAGCTTGAGATGCTGGGATGACCTGGGACGACCTGGCACGCCTTGGACAAGATGAAAGGAAGTGACATATGGAAGCTATGAAAGGAATGGACATATGGGATGGGATGGGATGAGATATGTGAGATGTGTCAAGCATATGACTCTGAGTGTGTGTGTGTGTGTGTGTGTGAGAGAGAGAGAGAGAGATTGAGTGATTGTATGATTGAGATGAACGCTCGAAAATCTACAAGCAAGGACAGAGATAGAGATAGACATTCTGCACGAAGCACGAGAGGTCTCTTGGTAGTGAGTCATGGTTCATATATCATGGACTATGTATGGATCCATCTCTCCGTCCATCTATATAGTGAGCTAGCTAGCTAGCTAGCTATCTATCTCTCAATCTCTCAATCTCTCTATGCCTTTGTTCGTCACCATTTCTCGCGGCGCGATAGAACGAGGGTACAAGGACGGGTTTGCCAAATGATATCGACATGATGTGTCTAACGTATTCATCGTCATGCGAGAGAGAGTGTGTGTGAGAGAGGGAGAGAGAGGGAGAGTACCTACTGTAGCCTGTAGCCTGTATCCTGTAGCCTGTTCATTTCACATCGATCGTCACTCTGTTCGCGCAGGCAAGAAGAAGAGACAACGGGGAGAATAGATCATGGGAGAACAGAGATAGGAAGTGTGTTGCACGCATGCGGTCTTCTGTCGCTCACTCCCTTCCTCCCTCCCTGAAGGACGCGGGGCTCTCAGTGGAAAGCGTTTTGCATGATAGCAGGAGACCAACCGGGAATGACAATGTCTGGTTGGCACGAGAGGCCCTACTACTCAAGATTGCCAACACCCAAGTGGGCGAGGCATTGTCGAGAAGCCCTCGAGAGCAATACCACGTTGATTCATCTTCTTCTGTTTGTCCTCTTCAAAGGCCGAGTCCGAGTCAAACAACCCCCAACACTTTCTGCAGGGGCGGGGGCAAAAGTTACGCAGAAATGAACATGTGCCACCAAAAGCTCCCATGGTATTTCGGCAACAGGCCAGAGTCTCCCAGAATGCATGTGAACAGGGGCTCTCGGTGGTCGCGCATCAGCACCCCGACATCAAGGGTTCATGAGACCTGGCGGGGTGGGCTGCGAGATTGCATCCGCCACGTACATCGCCAAAGCGCATCAACACCGTCCCTTGGAATCCAATGGGAAAGGGGATGTGTGGGCTTCCTGAAGTTTGTGGCGAGTGCTCTGCTTGGGTGTTGCCTGATGGCGCAGAAGGACAGCAGATCGCACCGCTCATAGTTACGACCTCAATGATGATAGACGTCCTTAGTTCCTCCAATCCGACCTGACCTTCTCTTATCATGTGCACCGCAAATTCAGTCCACGAACGCTCCCTGGTGTTCCGCCAGTGGATGTTGACGTCAGTAACATCCTTGCCCACAGCAATCCACGAAAGCATGAAGAAGAGAGCTGAGCGCCCGAGAGAGCACGACTGGGAGCAGTGGAGGTTGGAGGGATTGATGGATCCAAAGACGGTGACCGGCGACGCCGACCCAGCTGCCTGGTTCATGGAAACCCTGGAGTCAAAAGTTTCACCGCAACACTGAAAGGATGTTTGTGAAGTCAATGCAAAGACCTTGTCCGAGTCAGGTTCAGGTGTCTGTCTTTGATTTGTGGCTTGCGACGTTGTGTGCAACCCCGACTGAAAAGGATGTCTCATGAGAGGAAAGCCGAAATTGAGGTCTAGACTCTCTGTCGACAAAGTGATTCAAACAGGCCCAAAGATCACCCCTTCGCCTTCACGGAAGGGACCAGCGCTAATGTCACCAAAAAACGCTTCCTCTTGCAAGAGTTTATTTTAGGCTGTCCTCAAAGGCTAAGGTGTGTCGGTCACATTCCAAGTCTCGGAAGACTTGTACTCGGTACCTCGTAGATTGTACGATCCTGGACAATTTTCAACACCTAGTTCTCATGTTTCACTTTTGACAGGCAGCTTATCGGAATTATATCCCTTGGCGCATCCTCCGGGGTAAGCAAGGTAGACGAAGAAACTTAGATTGACATTATTGTTCCAGAAGTCGGCTGGGTGCGGAGGCCCAACCTTGCGAGAAAAACAGTAACGGTGAATGGACACAAGTTGCATAAATTGATGTTCTAGACCAGGAAGATGATCCAAGTTTCTCGATCGCGCGAAATACTTGTAGGCTCGATGGCAGTCTTGGAAACTACAGGCTCTGAGTGGGATCGCGTCAGAGGTGTTGTGACAGCATCAACCTGTCCCTGATGGTTGGTGAGTTCAACGGGCGTTCGCCACGATCGTTAGGGTGGGTGGATTCGTGAGAGGCGGGGTTCGGTGCGCGGTAGGGAGGGTGTACGAGGTATCTAGAGAGTAAACAGCTTAGCTTTCCTGGCGGCTTCGTTCTGTGCTAGCGGTGCGTCTGAAGAGGGGAAGAGGGAGAGAAAAGGAGTGGGCTAGAACTTGACTTTTTTTTTTTCGAGGTGGCCTATTATTGGCGTTGGAGCAGTGTGTGTATGCAGCGAGAGGGAGGAGATGAATCCAGAGGAGAGGAGAACATTTTTGTGATGTGATGATGATGATGAGGATGGCGATGATCATAACGTTGAAAGCAAGATGATGGTTGTGGTTGTGGTTGTGGTGAGATCATTGACTGCGGCCTCTTGAGTATTTCGCATAAATTTGTGTGTTGGTCACCCGAGTACGCAGGCAGCCAAGTGCTTCAATGAGGCCGATCATGGCCCCCCCCTTGTTCAATCAGAGTATTTTAAATATTATTCGGTACACATTCCGACCATTAGTGCAGAGCGTCGTTGTTACTTGTATGTAGATCATCCTCGCCATCCTCGCCATGGTTAGCACAGTACGAGGCTTGTCCTTCTGCTTCAACACTCCCCCCTCTCCCTTCTCAAAGGCAGACCCCAACCGATCATGGGTGTTTCACAATGAGCCCTCTGCATGCTTGACAAACCCAGTGAGCATCCGCGTTGTGATGACCAGATCGAGTCCTCCCAGTTCCCCGTCCACAATCATTGCCACTGGGCGGATGTTTGGGAATCCGCTCCTGACGTCCAATGGCGAAGTACTCGATTGGCTGACGGTTCAATGGTGTCTCTCCTCTCAAATCATACGTCGCTCCCTTAGCAGTCCACGTCTTTGGTAAGTCGCGATGGTGATCGACTCCTTTGATCGCCCTCACCCACCTCCAAGTGGACATCAATAGCGCTGGCTCTCGGCAAATAGGCAAAGTACCTCGTACAGGTGATGAGCTCCATACCTCGAGACGACCATTCGGTATTGTTAGCCGATAAGTCCAGATAGAAAAGGTCCTCTCAAGTCATCTGTCTGCTGGGAGTCCTATCTCGATGACAAAGCTCGGCTGCGTTCAAGTGCCGGGACAAATCCTACGGGAGCTTCGAAATGGCGGCGTCGAGGTGCTATTGTCAAAAACAGATAACGTCTCACCGGTTCGCCCGTCCTGCGCGGGCATTGTCCCCCGGAGACAAACCGTCTTGGGCACTGCCTTAGATGCCCTTTCAGCCAACCCCCCCCCCCCCCCCCCCCCCCCCCCCCAAAACCGAAGAAGAAACCCTTTGACGTGAAAAGGAAAGAGGAGCACGCGCTAAAGTATCCAAGGACGTGTACAAGGCCTCGAGGTAAAGAAAAGCCCACATACCCTAGCTGCATGGCTCTGCGTGGCTTGTAACAATACCAAGTTTTTCAATGCTGTGTTGTCCTAGTATACCGATCGGAATGATCGCTTTGCTGTCCAAACCCCATCTCGAGTCTCAGGCATTGCTCATAGGTAAACACCAGCAGGTCAGGCACAGCATTGGGCGTTGTACTCGGTACCATTCGCAAGCTGGGTCAAGTTTGTTGGGGCGAAATGCAGAGTAGACTTCAATGGCCCCCAGTCTCCTTGTGCCAGGGCTTGCTGCAACCCAAAGTCGGGCATCAAGGGCAGTCGTTTTCGCTTCTTCATCTCTCCCCCCCCCCAGTCGCACTCGTAGGCAAGGCAGAGACGGATGCAGGAGGCCATTGAAAATCTTTAGTGGGCATGGTGGTCTGATGCCTGGTGCTGCCACCGTCCAACCCACTAAACTCTCTTTTTAAAAATAGACGGCGAAGATTCAGAGGCCCTTGTTCCTTGACCCACCAGGCCAACAGATCGACAGTCCCCTAGGGAGAGACAGAGAGCCACAGTTTGTCGTCGCACCTGTCCATTATTCTCCAGACTGTCAGGGCTCCATGGGAAACCCAAGAACTCTGATACCAGGAGAGGAATGGTCAAGTCATCTTTATCTGCTTTCTCCAACCCATCTTTTGAATTTCCCAAGCGAGTAGTCAGAGGGAGAGAATGCGACAAAGCGTCGTTCGGGGTTAGACCTTGGCCTCTTCCGCCCACAAGTCAATGGTCGATCTGTCTTTCTCCTCTTCTCAGCTTTTGGTGTGAAGCCCCAAGTTGGGGATGGATTGGCACCCAGCGATTGCGACTGCTGAGCTGCCAGCTTTCTTCACTTCACATTGGCTAGTGTCTCTGCAGAATGAGGCGGTCCTGACTGCAAAGATCGACAAGGAGCTGGCATTCATACTCGTAACCCCTGGCTTGGCCACTCTGCCGAACTCCGAGGCCTGCAGAAGGTGTGTCTAGTACCAGGACTGACTGTGTACGCGGTCGTAAGGGGGTCGACTTCCCACGCTGGGCCTGAGTATTTGATCGTCGGTAGAAAAGTCTATCGACCTGCTGTCCAAAACCCACTTGCACTCCCGCGGGAGCTGCCATTGATGCCAAATGTTTTCACTTTGGCATGACTAGAGGTCTGCAATTGCCATGATGTGACCCATGCGAAATCAACCACCATGGCGACCACCGGGTGAAGGGGAGAACGGCTTTGCGGAACTTTATGGTGCCAGCTGGCGGTGACCTCTTCTTTGGAGCCGCCATAGGCTTGGAAAACCACATGGCAAGCTGGCAAACAGCGCGCAAACCCATTCGTTCTTTGCTCCGAGGAAATCAAAATTCCCAACGGCTCTTTGAGAGACACTCGCTCGTGCTTCATCTGGATCGGAAGAACCACGCTTGAAGTTGCCTTCGATTGGTGCATTGCGTTTTGGACCAGCATGAAGCCCCGAAAATCTTACTCTGTCCTCTCGGAGGCTGGACAAAGTCTGTATGCTTCTCTCAGGCATCCAACTTTTTCAGATTTCTTCCTGCTACGTACTCCAAACTCCCACTTAGGCATGATCAGAGAGGAGGCAAAGGTATCCATTGACGATACCCTTGACTTGATGCGTTCCAGGCTGTTTTCCCCTGAGAGCTCTGCTCTTTCGACTGACTTTGAACTCGCTCTTCTGGCGCCCGTGGAGTCATCATACCTGTAGCTCCGATGGAGGGGGGGGGGGTCGGATGCTGATTTTTACCCCTAGAACGCTGTTTCACCCGAGAGCTAGGGACCACCAGGTGCTCGGTCCACGTGGAGAGATGGTCGCCACCTAGACAAGTATTGTAGAATAATACGGGAGGAACGGGCGATAGACTTTTGGTTGAGAAAAGTGTGCCGCTAGCCTTCTGGTTGCAGAATGTACAGGGATCTCCAATGTGGACTGTGAGACGCAGTAGCTTCGACGCTACCTAGCCATGCCATCAACTGGGAGTCGACCCGGACCATGTTTCCGTTAAGTCTAGAATCCCTGGACAAGGTCCCTGAGAAGATCTCTTTCCAAAGGAGGATCTGGAGGAGAGCCGCATCCATCAGACACAGCCACATGATGGATTTGTATTCGTCTGTCTGGATTCTTTTTCCCACGCTCGCTCGCTGCTGTATCCTCGTCGGTAGCCCCTCAGTAAAGATCGCTTGCTGGATACGAGCACAGAGGTTGGCCTTTTGTTCCGTACCCCTCCGCATTCACATGGAGGCCGAGCTAAACTGAAATTATGCCGCTATGGGCAATGATAGTCGTAGGGGCTAAGCGAGTAAGTCAGTGCAAGGAAGGAGACTCGCCACCTCTGCTCTGCACCTAAAACCACTTACGAGGCTCCTTTAGACGCTGCCGTCGTCCCTCTCTCACTAACCTCGTTGCGTCTATCTCGGAGCAGCACGAGGCTTTGACCGAGTTGGATACTTCGAGTGGGTCTAGGGTCAACTCCACGCAATCGCACCCACGCCACTTTCTCGGTTAAGACGTGCTGACAAAATGCATCCATGGCCTTGGTGGTGACGTGTGTGGCATTCGCAGTGGGCGGATCTTGAAGCGCCTGACAGGCACCGAGGACAACAAACCGGGTACATGCAAAACGTGGCACAATTGTCCCAGGCTGTCCTGCATCTTTTAGCCGCCCACCCCCCGCGTAGCTTCGCAAAATCCTTCGCCAAAGACCGAAGAGACGTTGGGAGCAGGTTGTAACCTATCTTGTCCCTGTTAGACTGAGCCTCAGCACATGATTGTCGGCTTTGGGCCTAACTCACCAGGCAGGGGTGCCACCTGGCACGCGCCCAATGGGGCCCTTCTCTGGATCGAGTCGGGGGTGGGCAGATGTTGACTAGACTTCGGTCAAGAGTCCCTCAGCCTCCACAGTTACCATCCAACGCATGGATAGCCGCTCTTCAGATCCATGAACTTTGAGTGGAGGATGCGTCTCTCCTCAACCGAGCCATCCGCACCTTACCAGGAAGAGTCCAACTTCAACCCCCATCGAAGCCACACAGCCGGCGTTCAGTGGCGCTAGCTCTGAGGATCAACTCCAGTGCTGTCGGGGCTAAGGACTGTTAACCCCAGTTCAATGGGCTCCACTGGAGAGTCTCCCAAGGCGCTCTCGCTCGAGACCGAAGCGACATTTGTGAAGATCAATGCATGTATTCATCCGTCAGAGCCGGTTTTCGTGCTGTGAAAATGTAAGAGGGCCTAGCTGCTAAGGTCTACCCCATTGACTGGGTACTCGTGCACATTGTCGGGCCTTGTCGTGATCCCCCTTTTGATGGCTTTCCGCGAGGCAAACAGCAGCTGATCTTTCCACTTCAGAATGATATCACCGTCATTGAACAGCAGGTATGGACCAGGAGTCTGGTCGCTGAGGCCCGTGGTCAACAACCCCTCCTCATCAAGATTGGTCCTTCGAACCAGTCGGTTGGGATTGCGGCGCCTGCGCCTCGTATTCGTCGTTTTCTTAGAATCTTCTGTCGGGGAGACGTTCCCAATTCTTCATTGGTGGAGACAAGTTGGTGCAGATCGTTCCTTGGACACCGAACTTCCTTGTAGCTTGTCTCGGCACACCAGGCAGGGAGGTACAAGTCGTGGAGGCTAAATGACGGGCAGCATCACCCACCAGCTTGGATCAGACAGCCTGCCTTTTTTTTTTACCTTTTCAAAGTCGATCCGAGCAACTCAAAGATGGTCAGCCGCACCACCTGGGACCACTTCGTAAATCTCCAGATCTTCAGTACCTCGTTTTACAGGTGTTCTGGACTTTTGGAATGCAGATATAGTTGAACTGTGGCTTTTCTCCGAAGTGGATCTTGTAGTAGCTGCTGGCCATCCAGCCATAGTCTCCAAACGGGCAATCCAAGGTCAGGCATGATTGTTTGGGGGTCCTGTTCTCGCATCTCACCGGGGCGAGCCCCGTCTCCCCCTTGGCTCATTGGGGAGCATCTTGTGCGATCAGCCATCCAACTTCCCTGTGCAAGAACCTCGTCAACGCCTAAGAAAGTCAATGGCGCGAGCGATTGGACTCGTATCTGTCCTCCGCAGGTGGATTATTTGACTCCTCTCGTGGCTTTAATCGCTAGTACGGAGGCGCTGGGGTCCAAACTCGTCGAATACCAGATTCCAAACCATACCTTTTCCGCATGCATAGAAGTGTCATATACCACACTGTCATGCATGTTGAGGGCGCTTGTTTCCTGGTTTGATTCGCCTGTTGCGGATATCCAAGTCTTTTCGCGGTGGCGGGCCTTTTCTTCTGACCATATTTTACGATCCACGAAGAGGGAACCCAGTCCTCGTGAACTGCAGTTCCCAATTCCTACCACTGGTCAGTCTGTGTTCTCGACTTCTAGGGGACATCCCGGTCTATCCCCATCAAGATCCTTTTGTTGAAATTCTGATTGTTCTTTTCATTTCCTCTCCAACTTCTGCTCCGGACGAAGGAACGGCTGACAATCCTCTCCACTCCCTACTCGATTCAACCGATTGTCTTCAACTTTGGTCACTTGATGTGATTGCTTTCTGTTGATCCTCATCACAGAGTCTCGAGGATTGCCCCGAAGTCAGCTCCTCAAACAGTATTCCGTTTGCGTTAGCATTCGGTGCGACGTGGGAAGATTATTCCACACCTCTATTCTCCGATGTGTGGTAGATAGTACTGCCAGCCATATTTGTGCGACCCAAGTGATCCAAAATCCCACGAAGCTTTCATAGAGCTCTGTGACGCGCAATTGGGGCTGCTCCCCTTTGGCTGATCTGACCGGGCCGCAGCCAGAATCGGCCTGGAAACCCATCAGTTGGTTGCGACAAATCAATTCTGTGATGTCGACACAAGATCCACGGTGCCAGTGATGTTGCCCGTCTGCCTCGCTCAACATCTCGACGAGTACAGTGGTGGAAGACAAAAAACCAGCAGGAATCACTACCTAGTCTTGGTCTCGCGGAGGTAGTGGACGTCTGTCAGCGAAGAGATGCAAGAGGGAGGAAATAATTTTGGAGTCTATGCAGAAGGAAGTGGTCCTGCGCAAGACCAGTTCGGTCCTGAGGTCGAGCAGTTCAACATGCCTGGTTTGATTCAATCCGGTAACTCGTCGCCCACTGTTCGCGACATGGCGGTAGAAGGGCCACCCTCATCTCCTGCCGATAAAAAGAGAAACAAACTGGGGTACCATCGCACTGCCGTCGCATGTGGTCAGTCTCTGTACCTGGCTTCCTTGTGCGCGACATTTCTGACCAAGTACCAGTCCATTGCCGACGGCGCAAGATTCGCTGTATGCCTGATTACAATGACCCAACAGGCCGATGCCAGAATTGCATTCGCCTCAAAAAGGAGTGCGTTTTCTTGCCGATCGACCCGCAAAATCCGCCCACAGCGAAACGACCTCGCTCGGGGCAAAAGACAGCGGATGGCTTCGTGAACGAGGGTGAAGCTTCAGTCTCGTCATCCTCTCCAGGTGGCATCCTAAGAAGCAGCTCCATGGAACAAATAAGTTATGGGAGGGGATCCTTGGACACTCCTCCAATGTCCAATGAAAGTCCTGGGTTCCCAACTTTTCAGCCGGCCTCCAGATCCGTATCTGTCCATGGTAGGAGTTTGATCGTGTCTTTGTCTTCGAGGGCTGACGCATTTCAGGCTTTGATTTTGGGCATGGGTACGACCCTAGTCAACACCAGCGTCAACATCAGCAAGTCCTCGTCCCGTCTCCGTATGCACAGGGGAACTTTGATGTGGATTCGATGAACCCTTCGTTCTATCAGCAGCAGCAGCAACAGCACTCATATGGACATCCAGTTGGCACGCCATATTCGTCAACGTTTGCTCCGGGTTCCTTACCTTCCGTGATGACAACAATGTCTCAGGAACAGACTCGTGCGTACCAGACGTCTGTCTCCAATGGTGGCTATGGATGGACAAACCCTCCCGCGAGATCGATGTCTTCTGACCAAACCGACGAATTGTCATCTGGTTTCCCCACCCCATACCGAACAAACACATATCCGTCCTTCGACAGAGGAATGACGGGCCAGATGCAGCATCTACCTCCGACCAGTTCGAGCATGGTGCCAATGGGCATAGAGAGTCGGCACACTTCGACGACTCCGAATTTTCAGGACCACACATCATACCAGCCCATGCAAACCAATATGCAGTCGGTTTGGATGGGGGGAAATGTTGGTGCAATGCAACAATTGCCCGGATCTTCCGACGGCTTTCACTCCCAAGGCTGGTATCAACCTCATCCAGGGGTGGCAAACATACATCAAGAGGAGGAACAAGCTCGTATACTACCGTCGCAGAACCACAGTGCGCAAGAAGGTCAGCGTAAGCCTGGCTGAAGCCGACTAAATACATCAACCAAATTTACCTTTTCGTTCAGTTGCGACAAAGCTCTTTCAAACCCCCATCGCCGACAGCAGACTGAGTCCGAGCTCTAATGCCATTGGTAAGCTCGACTCAGACCAGTTGGATTTGAGAAGATTTAGAGTTGACGTCTCCTCTGGATGTGGACGGCCGTAGCGGCCAGAGGTGTGAATCATGTTTCCGAGAGGGTGTTTGGGCCCGTCCGAACACCAATTTAAAAAATGGGAATGGTTCATGCACAAAGTTTCTGAAGCGTTCAACTCGGGCAACCTTTGCAACGAAGCGGCTTCAGCCTTTCAGATTCCACTAGGTATCTCGTGGTCCGGAAACCCCAGAATAGCTAGAGGGTAAAGGTGCGTGATGCTCCATTGCAGTCTGGCAGGCATCAGAGACTTGAAGGGGTCGGACAGACCATCCTGAGATCTAAGACTGGCGGCAGGCTGTCTGGGGAGGTCTCGATACCGGGCGCTTTGCTTGCCTTCGCTGTCGTCAGTCTCGATCCTCAAAACTATAGCAGTCGACTCTCGAAATCTCATTCTTGGCTGCCATCCTTGACAACATGTCGGAACTGCTTGACCTTCTCTTCCACCACAATCGACGCTTAATACGCAAGTCTCCCAAATAAGGTCAAACGCAGATTGCCGAGCCGTGCGACCGAAACGAATGCCTTTCAAGTTCTGGAAGACCCCGGTGTGAGATTTCTGTCAGTTATCAGCAGGACATGTCTCACGGGTTGCACGGAGGGATGTCAGTCTATTCCATCTGCCGATCTCACCGAGCAAGTTTGGTGCCAGATGGGGGCTGGTAAGTTTAGAATATCCCATCAATCTGTTGGAACCATCCTGAAATGACTGGTATCGTGCAAGTCGGTCTTCATGGCACAGCACTTCGCCCTGGATGAAGTACCGCAAACCGGCAAGAAGTGTTAATGTGACCGCCGTCACTGCTTGGAGTGTCACCCTGGAGCACAACGGGTCATTGCACCAGCCGTCGAAAGATTGATATGCCAAAGATATGCTGTCCCGGTCTAAAAATGTCTTGGGACAAGATCGAATTCCCCTTCGCCTGGAAGTTGAGCCACCGGCACCATCACCACGGTCAAACCTTCACTCGGGGCACGGCCTTGACTACCATGCATGGTGCATGCGGGTGCGGATGCGGCTCATGGTTTGCAGGTACAGTGCAGATGGACTGCCTCCTTAAGGGGGGATTTCCTGAGCAACCGCGGAACGAACTGACTTGAAAACAAAAGTGGATTTTGTGGTTACGCAGGCAACTTCATAGTCAGGAGGCGGCCCTGTGTCCATTTGAAGATTAAGAGAGGACTGGGAGGGGCTGCGCCAGCCAGGTGGCTTGATGGTCTTGACACAGAAAAGAAATTTGAAGAGAGTCGGATTCGTTGTGTTGCTTGTAGGCAGCGCAGACGGGTTTGCCTCGTGCGGAAAAGGGAAAAGAAAAACAAATGGAAAATGTCGGTCACGTGCCACCCAATCCCCTTCAGGTTCCGTCGTGTTCGTCCTTTGTCCTCTCAGTTCATCAACACACCGACACTTTCATTCAAGTACTTCGTGCTCGAATCTTTGCATGAATCCAACAATACCACTCAAAACAGCTTCCTCTCAACCTATCGAGACTTCCAAAGAACCTGCCACGGATTATCGTCCCAGGACCGAACGACTATTGGGGCAATTTCTAAGGGCACCTCAACAGGAAAAAGACTGGGCCAGTGGATATCAGACAATGAGCTTGGAGGGAGAACAAAAGGACTGTTTTCACGCTATGCTCAGCCAAAAACTGGTAGCCCATGGCCATGCCGAGGAATGCTTGACACAACCTGACAGGCTTGATCGAGGGCCACCAGGAGTCGGCCATGGACCAGAGACAATGGACCATTGTGGCGATTGGAAGTCACTGATTTACAAAGGCAAGCAGCTCCAGATGCGGTGAATCGTCTGATTCCTGTGCTCCACACCAGAGCTGCCTGTTGGTGGTCCTTTCATTCGTAATTCATTGTTTAGGCAGAGGCAGTGATATTGAGGCTTGAGCTCTATGGGACCTTTATCTCAACTGCCAACAGTCGAGTCTACACTTCGGTGTTTTTTTTTTTTTTTTGAGAGAAAAATTCTTTCCATTAACCACATACGTTCAAATAGGAAAGGAACCGTTCCTCCCGTCTCACTCCCCACAAAGGGCCGTACTTCCTCGTCCATTGCTCGATCTCGTCCCGACAGCAGCATCAAGGTGAGGCCACCGCCACAATGGCACAACTGTCGGAATCAATGCGGTATAAATCAACGCAGGACCGACTATCATCTCTTCCTGGTGAGCTCCAGCTCCAGATCGCAGAGCATCTCAACTACTCTGATCTCGTTCGTGTTCGGCGAGCATCACAGGCCTTGAGACACTGCTTCGCTGACCCTTCGATTCGATTGATTGACGAGATGTCAAAGGCTTGGGCGGAGATCGAACGCAAATTTCAGGACTGCTATTTCTCCGTGGATACGAATATGTCGTTGTTGGGACTTGATGTCAATCTTGCATCCACTGTACAAAAAGTGGAGGAGTACGCCATGGAACGTGGCTTCTCTAACACGTTAGTCCGATGGCTTGTGCGTCCCAGTCTCTACCACTTCTCTTGTTCCAAGTGCCATACCATGAAACCTTGGACGGATTTCCCAAGCGACAGCCTGCGTCAAACATTTCCTTTCAGACCGCGCGCAAATCCTTTGATGACCCAACAAGATAACAAGATGATTCTAGAATCTATGACTTGTGGAGCTTGCACCGCAGCGGAACAACCTCGCGCATACCATAGTCTTGGTCTCCGCAACGGAACGAGTTCAATTATCAAATGTCACCGGTGTCTCACAATCAAGCCGGCTCCCCACGACCTGTCGTTCAGGCTCCGTTTCTCTGGATTCTGCCAACAGTGCTTTGGGGAGGTCCATCAGGACTGGTTCGAGTACAAGAGCTTACTACAGGACTGCCTAGCCAGAATGGAAGCCTACGAGAAGAGCGTGGACATGGAGTCGTTGTGGTGGAGAGGATTTCCCGAGTGCCCTGTGCCGGCCGAGTTTGTAGCCGCCTTGAACAGCCCGAATCATCGACCTCTGCCCAGCTGCAGAGAGATCGTCCTCGCTCAACTCTCTGTCAGAGCGGCCAACCTCCGACTTCGTGAGCTCTCGCTGGGACAAGATGCTCCAGACCTCTCTGTTCCAGAATCAACAGAGCCGTGATAACGATGTCCTGACAGGGAAAGTCGCACAAAACACTAGAGCTTAGAGTTGCACACACGACACCCCAGCTTTCTGGTTCACAGAACCTTGGTGCGAAAGGTAGGTCTCGAAAAGGAGCACATGGAGATGAAGACGAGTACGAGTACGAGTGCCTGTCATGGCATGGCATGGCATGGCAGGTACTTCCTCTCAGGGTTTCCACATCATTTACTACTCTCATTTCAAGTCAGAGTGATATCCAATGTCATTCATTTTCCATCATTAAATTTTAGTTCTCTCCCTCTTGTTCCTATGTGGGTGGCTTGATATACTTGTACCAGGTATATTCCTCCTCTATGGTTCTATATCCTCCTGCTCGTGAATATATACCACAGATCTTTGTTCCTTGCATATTTCAACCCGTGCGGATGATCCCCTCCCTCTCTTTGGTAAAAGTCTCGTCTGCCCTTCTATTTTTAACGAGGTGCCACATTTAGAAGGCAGCCGTGGTAGAGAATACCAGACACACACAAAGGTGATGAAGAGGTGGAGATGTGGAGAGAGAGAGAGAGAGGAAGTCAAAAGATTCAAAGTGTTTACATTCCCGTCTCTATCCAAGGCCGGATGAGACTTTTGCCAATGTTAGCCAGCCCTAAGCCCGTACTCCCCCAAGACTCCCTGCCAGGGTATCACAGTGCGATGCAGAAAACAAACAATACAAAATATCCGTCCCAAATCCCGGTTCCGTCATGGTTCCTCTGATGTCTCGGTACAATGTAAACACTGCCACGCCATAAGAATGATAACGCCCTATGTTCGGCGGAGCCTATGACGAGCCGACAGCAGCCTTGCACGACTGGCAGAGATGAGAACCCGTCGACTGGACAGGCACCTCGGTGTGGTTGATGGCCCAGCAGCGCAGACACCGAGTGGCTCGGCTGCCGGGCAGTGTGAATGCAGGATGCTGCACCGGAAGCTGTGACGAGCTTGGCTGGTGGTCGGCGCTGGCGGCGGCCTGCTGCTCAGTGTCGAGCGAGCGCTCTTGGTCCATGGATAGGCACGCCGAACAAATCCCGGCCTCCTTTGATCCAGCCTCGACTCTCCTCAGGGAGTTGCACCACCTGCAGACGACCCAGGTACGTCTCCCGTCCTTGATCACGCTGCCTTTGTCCCAGATCCCCTTCTTGACGCCACACGCCTTGCAGAACCGTCGACCGGCTTCGCCGTGCCCGAGACTCCTCCTCCCCGTGACCTGTCCCTTCACGAAGCACTCTCGTGGCAGACACTTTAGGCAGGCGTAGCAGTTCAACCGCTCCGCTCTCATTATGCGGTTGCGGTGAATGTTGTTGAGCGAGTTCATCGGCGCGTTGGTGCCGGCGATGCCCGGGCTTTGCGGAGGCGGAGCTGCCTGGACGGTCTGGGGAAACACGCTCGCCCACCGACGTTGGTTCGTATACGCCAATTGCCGACGTTGGTATTCGGCGTGTTCTTCGGCAACGAGTCTGACTCGGAGAGCCTGTCGAATCTCTACCATCCGGGCCAGGGGCACGAGTGTCGCTGCCGAGCGACATGTCTGGCGGAAGCTAAGGAGAGACTCGTAGTCCAGGCCAGACATCAGGTCGTCAAACATGTCCACTGGCAAGTCGAAAATGCCTGCGTAGCTCGTCATGCTGGAGGCTGGCTTCTGTTCACGGGACCTTGAGGCTGGTTTCTCGCCCAGGGGTTTCTATGCCAGAGGCAAATGCAGAGATCTGATGAGAAGATCGCTGTTGCTTCTTCTGTCTGATGGAGAGACCCACCCAGCTTCAAGACTCCTCTTCGGTTGTTGCTCGTAAGCTCCAGCAAGATCTGATGAATCTTGACGAGAGTATTGCCAAAGACGATAGAGTGGAAAAGGATCAGGAGCAGAAAAACTGATATATATATACTCATAATCCCATC